GAGAAGAACCCGTCCAGAGGACCTATACAATTTTTTTCTTTTTGATTTTTTACGTGGATTACTGAGATGCACCAGGACATTTATCAAAAGAAATTATACTTTTAAGTTCAAAATTGCCACTTTTATCTAATTTTTATCTCATTCTTCTGTCAACTGTAAAACATTTTTTGTTTGTATCTTCTGTTCTTAAGGTCATTACAGCATAACATTAAACTATTGCAAACATTAGGTTTTAAATGAAAACGTTAAATTAAAAGCATTTTAATGTTTTAACCTGTGAATATTAAATTAAACCCAGTTTGAATCTGAAAGTTCCACAGGATTTTTAGTCATGTCTTCTTAACAAGACTCTACAATCTTTTTTATTTATTTATTTTTGTATTTTTCAAACTAAACTCAACCAAGAAGTTACAGTAACATCAGCCAGCATGGCAGCTCCAAATGCCTGTTACCTGCTTCCATCCTACCAAAAACAAGGTTTTATGTGCTGGCTGGTTGTTCCCACTTGGTCCACTCCACATTTATTCAAATAAAGAGCTTTACTGTTAGTAAATATACGTCTCAGGTTCAGTGCCTCAGTCTGTGTTCAGATGTTTCAGATGTAAACTGTCTTTAGTTCAGCTGGGGTGTTAGAGAAGTGGCTTATTTTTCATCTGTCTGCTTAATACTGAGTGATTGATTTGTGGACATGTGGCTCTGCTGCTCGGCTTCTCCAGCAGCAGTTGTCATCTTTGCCTTATTAAACTTTTTTTAATCCAACCCAACATAGATGAAACATCTTGACAGACAGTTCTTTTGGTTCGTTTTTTCTTTTAATAAGGCACACTCTGTATTTGATGAAACACTGGACAGATTTTCATAAAACGTTGAAAAAGAAATCACTGGATGTACATCTAGTTCAATCTAAATTAAGATGGCTTCCACAGATAACTGATAGAGATGTGATGTTCACAACTGATGCAAATCTTTTGATCGGAGTTGTGGATATAAAAAGCTGCCCGTAGTTTCTTTTAATTTTTACTCCTTGTCACAGCTTGATTTTGCTCCATAACCATGGAGACAATCGCTTCTTCTGCACTTATTTTTTTACAGAAGAGAGGCAGAGCTTAGAGTACAGCAGCTCAGGGGAAAAGAGGGAGGGGCTTTGCTTTTAAAACACATGGTCCCACCCACTTGATGCAATGACGTCATCATGTGCGGCCAGAGTTGTAAAGTAACAAAGTACAAATACTTAATGTATTTAAGTATACATTTTGGACATGGAATTTTAGGTTTTTCATTTTATATTTATACTTATTTTCTGAAAATAGACATAAAAAGCATGATTAAGATGACATCAGTAGCAATAAAACCATTTTCTTGGTAATTAACTGGAATGTATTAATCACTGATTTATGGCAGTCCTTTATTGTACATATTGATGATAACTCGTGGATAATGTGTGCAGCTCTACTGTTGATTCACGTGTACATTTCAGCCTTTCACCTCCTCATTATCAGCCTCACCCAGTCTGAAAACAGAAGGCTGGTTTTTAATCAGTTTAACCAACTTTTACTGCAGCTGTAAACACACACAGAGGTCAAACAGATGTGACAATTTTCTAATTAAACCAAAGTACAACACCAATCTGTCACTTTGAAGTTATTATTTTGGCAATACAAATATCAAATGTCTTTTTCAGCTTTGAACTTTATTAGAAGATCACATGCAGGAAGTGATTACCTTTAACAGTTCTGGTCCAAAAAACTCTATCATTGCTATTTCCATCTTGCTTTTACTTGTATCCCCTGTGCCCTCTTTCACGATCTTCTGCAGCACACCAATCATCCAGTTAAAACCTGTACATTTTCAAACAAAGTCCATTTCACTCCATTTCGATTCAATACAGAAATTAGCTGAAAAGATACAAAACATGAGCCTCATGCATTCAGATAGAGCATCTAGGTTCAAACATTCGTCCTGATTCTTAACTGTGTTCATGTAATTTTTCTCCCTGAAAGCATGCAATAAGCTTCTTCAAAAACAAACCTAAAATGAAACATATCACGTTCCTGAACTGCACCACGGGAACAGCAGGACTACTGCGTGTTTCTGTTACAAACAGGGTTAGGGTTAGGAAAAACCCACCTTTGTGGCAAATAAGAAACTTGAGCCATGCTTTGTGTTCAGGATGAAAGGAAAGTTATAAAATCTTAGGATTCAAACATTCAGGTGGCTTGTCCTGACAAGTTTGGTCATTTTTAGGAAAACAAATAAACAGGAAAATGAAATTATGTTAACAGCATGATTGGAATATTAGATTTCCTTAAATTAAAGTTAAATGTTTTAATCAACTTCAATTAAAATTCAGAGTTTACATTTGGCTGTTTTTAACATAAATATTAAAAACAAAAGTATTTTGTGATTCTAAATTTGTGTTAAAACTCAATTTTTACCTGAACTATTAACAAAATATATGTTTTACAGATTGGATTAAATCCCTTTGAAGTCCTTATTGAATAATCTACAAATGATTAACATTTGAAGTCTACCTAATTCAAAATGGCCGCCACAGCTAAGAGATATTAGCGGTAGCTGAACACATCCTGATTTAGTGAGCATTAACTCATCGAGCTAAATCCGTGTTTAAAACTTTGTCAACTCTGTCTTTCTGCTCGCAAACATTTTATAACCGCAGAACAAATTTTTATGAAAGTTTATATAAGTGATCATTGAAGATACATTTATCATGAATACACTTTTGGACCGACTCAATCCAGTTAATGCTGGCTGTCGTTTACAAAAAACTAAGTTGGCTAGCTCAACCAGGTTGCTAGCTCATTGCCAAATGGATGTGGTCATAGCTAAGTCACACACTCTGGGACATCCACTATTGCATTAGAATGGGCATAACACTGTTTTCAAAATTGAACTGAAATGACTCTGTCATTTCAAATTGTTTTTCTCAATGTGGTGCATCTCCTGATTACGTCAGCACTTTTCTTTTTTTTTTTTCAAAGCACATGAATTATGTCTCTTTGGCTTTCCATATAAGTTTACACCAAGTTTACAACCTGGGCGTGGTTTCCTTCGCACATATCCAACCTTATTGTCAGCTGAGTCAGGAACATGGACGTGAAGTGGGTCAACAGGAGTCTCTCTAGGACCTTCCCTGACATCCCACATCATGAGGATCCTAGAGAGACTCCTGTTGACCCACCTGAGTAAGGAAACAAGCACACATCAGGACCCCCTGCAGTTWGCTTATCGTCGTGGAGTTGGAGTTGACGACGCCATCATACACCTGCTTCAACAAACCCACTGTCATCTGGACAAAGCAGGCGGCACTGTGAGGATCATGTTCTTTAATTTCTCCAGTGCTTTTAACACAATTCAGCCTGATTTACTTTGTCTGAAACTCCAGAAGACTCCAGTGGAGGCCTCAACAATCGCCTGGATCAAAGACTACCTGACAAACAGACCACAGTTTGTGAGACTGAAGGACTGTGTGTCTAACCA